TAAATTATTATGATTTTGTGATCGACGAGGTTTTTGTAATAATTATTTTATTTTTTAAATGTATGTTATGCACCTGACATAATCGTAACATTTTTCTTATAACTGATGTGCCTATATAGATAAACTTATTGTAACTTCTTTTCAAGTTAAAATTGTAAACATATTTTTAATATTTTTAGCTTTAATGGTTTTATACATTAATTACTGTATATAAAGGTTTAAATGAATAATCTAATACTATAATAATAGTAATAGTTTAACTTCTAACTTGTATAGTTATTGGCACGATTACGCACGGCTATTGGCACCAAGTAATTTTGTATTTCGTATAAATAATGTTTGATTATACATTTTAGAGGATATTTTCTCTTAATTATTCGGCTATACTGATACTGTTATATTATCAACCTATATTTTCTTATATTATTTTTTATTTGATTATTCACAGTTCGATGTCATAATGATGGAACAGGTTAAGTATGTAGCCATGTAGGTGTCAGTAACTATAAAAGATTCCCTAAGTTGGTAGTCTGATTTTTTCTGTTAAAATAAATAGGTGCAAAAATACAATTTATACATAATCCACGTACTAATCTAAAATATAGATCAGGTAACTATTGCTTTAAACTGATTACCAAGTTATTATTTTTTTCCATTATATTAATTTTGAAGTTGGCGAGTTAAATTTATTATTTGTTAAATATCAACTTCTACTTTTACGATATTGTGTTCACTCAACTTAACTTAATTATTTTYGTTAACTTGCCCGCTTTCGATGATTATTACATGGTGTACATAATTGCATAAGTACTTATAACTATTATCCGGAATCCAGATATACTGCATATACCGAAATGTGCAATGTATTACATGTTTATATAAATCGTATTGGACATGTACGGGGTATTTCAATGGTTCGTAAAAATATTTCTTTGTTTTTGTTTCAATGTTCGAAAAAAATATAAAAAATGTATGAGTGACGTTTTGTGATACTGCGTGAAACGTCTTCCGGATAACCCTTGTCCGGTGGCTTATTACGTCGTCGTCGGCGTCGTCGTAGCGGTATTAACAAACCATTTGACGCGCATATCGAACGTTTATTATAGAAGAAAATAGCTCTGCGGGCGACGATGTAGCTGATATAGTAGGTACTATGTCAGCGCAACTAGAGCGTGTGATAAATATTTATCCCGTGGCGTATCGTTGTGTATTGGCGGCGATTTGTAATGCAAACAACAATAACGTACCGTTTCAACAACCATGGTTTAGCATATATTATTATCATCATCATAACTATTATTACGGAATTTTAACGGCCGTCGATTTTTCTTACAGGTCCTATATTATATTTATATATTCCATTATTTATTACGTATGCGAACAAGTCCCGCAGCGTGTTAATTTGTCATGCGGCAGACGACGCATATCTATTACATAGGTATCCAAACATTACTATACTATCTAAAGTTATTGTATTAATAAAATAATATTAAGCCATACACCTCTATGCGATGATTGATAAAAAATCGATAATTTAAAATAATGTATTTTAATATTTAATATTATATTTTTGAAAACAATCAGTAAATTTACTATAAATAATTGGAAAAGTGTATTAATTAATAGATACACATATTTTTGAGCTTCAGTGATCCAGAATATGTATAAAAAAATTAAA